TCCTACCCACTGAGCTACGGGTACCGCTCACCCTCCACCTTTTTTTGCAGAGAGAGGGTTAGGCATCTAACTTTCTATGAAAGTTCCTTATTAGGCTGGATATGGTGCTTCATGTCTGCAATCCTAGCACTCTGGGAGGCCAAGGTGGGTGGATTGCTTGAGCTTAGTAGTTCAAGACCAGCTTGAGGAAGAGTGAGACCCCATCTCTACTAAAAATCAGGAGAGAAAAAAAAACACAAAAAATTAGCCAGGCGTGGGGTAGCACTTATACTACCAGCTACTCAGGAGGCTGAGGCAAGAGGATCACTTGAGCCCAAGCGTTTGAGGTTGCTGTGAGCTACAATGATACCACAGTACTCTAGTCAGGGGGACAGAGTGGGACTCTGTGTCAAAAAAAAAAAAAAAGTCCCTCACACTGTCACAGCCTCCATTTGGTAACTGGTTGTGAATTCCTGTTACCAGTTTGCTTTCAGACAATGAGGATAGTAAGTTGGCATCTCCAACTTCTCTGGCTTTTCTCTTTGTCCTTGGTGTACTTGGGTATCCTGTCCTGCCTGGCAGCATGGCATAGCTGACAAAGAGGCATGTCTGAGGTCTTCTGTTGAATAGCTTTTCCCAGAACTTCTTGGGAAACTCAGCCTCATTTCCCTCCAGTGGCTTCTTGGAACTTTCGTCCAGTTGGATCCCTCAGGGCCAGATGTCCAGATTGGCTTCTTGGGGCAGGAGAGTGTACTTGAGAGGGCGGAATGATGGGAAGACAGGAGTGGAGTAATTGCCCAGTTGGGTCACAGTGGTCCAGACCTTCCCCGGGGCCAGCTTTGGCTGGGGGCCCAGCCTCACTGGAGTGCCCACTCTGCTGGCCTCCTGGTCACCAAAACCCCTTAACAGGTGAGCGAGTGAGCAACCTGGAGGAGCTGCCTCTTAACGATTATCGAGAATACATCAAAGTGCAGACAGATAAAGGCACGGAGGTGGCCACCAACCTGGTGATTCTCTGCACCGGTATCAAGATCAACAGCTCTGCCTACTGCAGCGCATTTGGTAAGCAGGTGGCCTGGCTGGGGCTGCTCCCCCAGGTGCTTCCTTAACACTCTCTGAGAACACTCAACAGCCCTTCCCGTTTTTTCCCAGCATGCCAAACTTTAATTTCAGGGTAGGACACTGGTAGGTCTTGCCTCAGCTATGATGTTGGCTTCACTGAGGGTGGCCAGTCACCGGAATCTTCTGAAACCAGGGCTAGTGGTAGGAGACAGAAAAGGTTTCAAGAGAGATGAGAAAGGTCCATTTTGTCACTTTCCTCATACTCAGATGTGGAGATTTGAGGTCAGCTCTCTCTGTTTATAGGTACGCTGCTCTCCTCAAGTACAGATCCAAACATTTGACCACTTGATCTTGGAACAGTCTTTTGGGGAGTGGAAGCAATGATAAGGCCTCATTTCCTAAAGCTCAGCATTTGACCATTTAGCTAATTGGACATGGGGAGGTGTGTTTAAGTCTCCACCAGTGAGCAGGAGACTTAGTAGCCAAGTCCTGTGGTTACGTCATGTCCTCAGGTCCCTGTCATTTTCTCCCAAGTACCTTTTCCTGATAAGGAGTTCCTGCTTTGTGTCCAGCAGGAAGTGATAATCTAATCTCAGAAGAAGGAAGCTCATCCAGACCAAGTGTAGGGGTGAAAGGAAGGCCTCTAGTGGACAGAGATCCCAGAACTTAACACAAAATGGTCTTCATAGCATGTTTGCAAAGATAAGTTCTTTTAACTCTTTTAAGAAAAAAGCAAGCAGTTTATTATTTAAAAAATCATATCTTACATTTTCTATTTGCTTAGTATGAAAAGAAAAAAAATATTACCTACATTCAAAAGTAAATTTAAAACTTGGCTAATCATTATAACTTGTGAAGAGTTATTTCCATTTCTTTTTTTTTTT